CCCCCCCACCCCCACACACACACTTTGGATTCTGCATTGACCAAGGGAACAGACCTGACTTAATAAACCTTATCGGCAATCTTTTTTTTGGCTGATGTGGCCAATAATGTCACCAATAAATGCCGCTTGTGTGGGTAGGCTGCTGCTGCGGGCTAGGGCTTTGGATGGCACCAAGCTCTTCCCAATGAGGGGTTTTGTCCTCCACTTGGGTGGTAGTGGCACTGGGGGGAGCTACAGGGGTCTCTGTCTTCCAACACTGCTGCCCACCACGAGCACAGCCCTGACCCATCTCTCTCTAGGAAAACCTGGCACTGCCCCTGGCCCTAGCCTGCAGCAGCAGCCTGCTCTTGCTCCATGCACAGATCCTGAGGCCATGTGCCACCCATTACTCGTCCGGGAGTGTATGCAGCCATGGGAGCCCCTGTTCCCCCTGGACAAGCTGCTTTTGGCTCTGTCCTGTGCCCAGCCCCAGCTGCACTCTCTCCCTCACTACTCTCATGAATTTGTAGGGGGGAAAATCTAGAAAGTTTCCTGGTTTTGGTTTTTCTTTTTTCCCCATGTAACATGGTGATTGTTATCATTGCAGATTTCGCTCCCTAAATAACTGACATCTGCTAATAATTTCCTTTTTTTCCCTTCCATTCTCCCCACCCTTGCAAGGCAGTATCATTAGTAATATCAAGATCAATCAAATGTGAGTTATCTTTTGTTCCTGAAATTATTCAGTTGCATTCTGTGGTTACTTCCTTCAAAATCTAGTCAGTGACCAGGGTGAACTCTTGTTTTACTCTGTCACTGACTGACTGATCACTGTCTCTGTTTGCCAATTCAGTGCTATATAAATCTAATTTGGATTATTTTTTACTAATATTCCAAAGTATGCCACAATTTTTTAAAAATAGTCTCTGCATATTCTATCAAAGATCTTATGATTATAGCAAGAAGTGGCTGGTACACCATAACTGGAAAAAAATATGACCCAAAGGCTGCCCTTTTCACTCTCCCAACTTGAGATCAGTTTGTTTTTTGATACATGCAACATCATTCTGGAATGTAATTTTCCTAGATGCTGGAAATAATGTGATTTCTCTCTGGTTGTTCCAGTTGGCAAGGTCACGCTTCTTTGGCAATTTTACTGTAAGCCCTCTTTCAACGTTACTGGATCTTTTTTTTTTCATTCCATGTTCTATTTTAAAAGATGATCTGGAGGGCTGTGTTGTTACTCGTTTTAAACATCTCTTCAATAATTTATCCTGTCCAACTGCGTCTCCAGTATTATGGTTACTGCTGGCTTTTCCAATTTATGCCATTGTAATGTTTCATGATTCTATAACAAGCTCTAGTAGTAGGCATTTGTTACATGTTCCTGTTTGGTCATTCGCTTGGTTCATTTTAAGATATCCTGAAAATGTTCTGCCTATCATCCATTCGTTTGTTTGTTTTTTAGTAAGTGGGGTTGCAAGAGCCACAGAAATTTTATTACAACAGTGAGGCTTGGACCAGAAAATGACCCAAAATGGCGTTGCAAATTCAGAAAGGGAGTGACCATAAAAAACATGGGGAGCTGCCTAGAGCTCTGTATTCTTTTCGTCACTTGAATTTCTCGTCTTTTAGCAGCGTGCTATGGGGTGCCACTTAACATTAGCACTGTTAGGTGTGCAAACACTGGTGCATGGTTCATAAGATTCAATCTAGAAATTTCAAATAGAAGTTCATGTTATCAAAAATATTCTGACCTGTTATGGTCTTTTGGAGTTATTTGCAGTAGAAAAATGGTTTAAGTATTTTTCTGTAATCCAAGAACGAGTGAAATGGCATTGTCTGAGGGGTGCCTTAAATCCTAAACAGGTTGAGAACCATTGGTCTGGGTAGCATGCTGGTGTCTTCCCACAAAGAATCAATATCTTGGTTTTCTTCAGTTGACTCCTTTAGGATTATGAACCCATTCTTTAGTGTTTATATCTTTTAATTAAGAACAGTTGAGTCGTCATTGTCCTCTTCTAACCTTCTTCATCCTCTTGAACTTTGCCTTCAGTTTTGCAACATAAAAGTGCTCATGTCTACATGCAGTTTCATCGTATCTGTGAAATCACCAGCTCTAACCTCATCTAGGCTTTCTTAGAAAACTAAGAGCTGGCAATATCTGAGGGGGACCTCAAGTCTTTTGAGAGGTACCTTGAGTCTAAATGGATTGAGAGCCACTGGGCTAGATGTATTCTGG